TTTTTTTTTTTTTTTTTTCCTTTTTCCTTTTAAAGAATTGCATTGATGGTCTTCATTTTCCTTAGAACCAAGTTACCAGGGTGACCAAGGATGTGCTGAAATGTAGTAGTGGTAAATGCTTGCTTTAGAGCAGACATTGTGGGCCAACAGGACCTGGACTTAGCTGTGAAACTGTTAAGGATTGTCTTAATTCAAGTGATGCTCCCAAGAGCATGTTTATGGTGAGTAGAAGGATCTAGACAAAGCATCTTTTGTTATTTTTTTGTTGCTTAAGGCCAGCTTTGTGCTTGTATACAACTGATACGTTTCTCCATGAGTGGTCAAACCCTGCAGCCCAAAATGTGCTTCCAGAGGATAGCTTTCCTAGAACTCTGCTTAGAAGTCTTTCCTGTTTTATCTTCAATTTTATTTCTAGCTATCCTGTTAGCCTATAAATATCTGAGGGGAAAATATGTTCAAAAGAAACAAGGTGCACAAAGTTTAACAAATCAGGCTTTTCTGATGTGAGACTCTATGCAGTAGGTCTCATGAAAATATACTTAGGAAATCACATTTAGCTGGAAATGCAATAAATCATGTTAAAAATAAATAATTTCTAAAATTCAGGACTAGCATGAAAATCCAGGATGTATGTAGAGCTGACATACGACTATACACTCTGGTTTTTTAGGCCTCATTTATTCTTCCCATACCATGTTCGTTGGGGTTTTCCTTGCCCAGCATAAGTGCCATAAACAGAACAAATGGATCCAGAGAATCCCTCTAATGACCTTTTTCTAAATGGGATGTGTATAACCTGTCAGTTATATGCAGAGATTTATATTAATGGATCCAACACACGAATACTTGTAGCAGTCCGTTAATATTTGATAATGCATGACAGTTATATTTATATACAGATCTAGCAGGCCAGATGCAGGCACTGCATCCTGGAAGAGGAAACAGGTCTTTAAGGCTGTGCTTTGGCAGCACCATTTTGTTGTAGACTCATCCACTTCTTTTAAGGAATCAGAGAATCATTTCAGGAGAAAACCAACTTTAATTCTTCCTTTTCTCATTTTTGTCCTTTGGGGAACCCAAGTAGGATCCGTTTTGATTATCTGCTGAAATCCAGTTAATCAAATCCTATCAGTGAGAAGGATGATTTATCTCTCAAATACTTTACCTCAGAGTTTTCAAGATGTGCCTGCCTATGTAAATAGCAATGAACCCTGGTGATGCAATAGTTAAGTTCTTGGCTGTTAACTGAAATGTTGGCAGTTCATACCCACCAGCAGCTCCACAAGGGAAAGAAAACTGGGCAATCTGTTCCCATAAAGATTTCTGCCTTGGAAACCCTATGGGGGTAGTTCTACTCTGATCTATAGGGTCGCTTTGAGTCAGAACTGACTTGAGGGCATAAAACAACAGCATGCAAAGAGCATCAGAGAATCAAGGTAGTCATCTAGATTATATAGATTCTCAATAGAGGACTTCAGGTAACAACGTCTGCATCAAGTATCTATCAGATTCAATCCTTTACTTCAATTTGGGTGCGGACAGCAGTAGTCTTGTTGCCTGAGGAAGTGAACGATGCCCCACGAAAGTAAATATTTATTTACTTCTCTCTAGTCACTAGCAGGGAGCTCTGGTAGCATAGTGGCTAAGGCACTTGACTGCGAACCAGAAGGCTGGCAGTTCAAACCCACCAGCCACTCCTCGGAAGGAAGATGGGGCAATCTACTTCCGTAGTCATACTGCCTCGGAAACCCAAGGAGAGGTCACTATGAGTCTGGTCCCACTCAACGGCACATAACAACAACAACAGTCACTAGCAGACTAGATGTTCATGAAAGCCTAAAGAAAGTGTGCCAAAATTCCTAGTTCCTGGATTTAGTTGTGGAAGTTGAAAAAGGCTTTGGGGAAATTCATTTCATGGGGAGATGTACTCCTATTAGGTGGTTCTAGGAATCACAACAACCATTTGATTAGAGAAGTCAGGTCATTTCCACTATTGCATGGGAAAGTATGCCATTTCCAAATATACCTAGTCTAGAAGAAACCCTTTCAGAGTGGGTGAGAGAAGTAACTCATTTACTGGGAACAAAAAGGAAACCCAATCCTGTCATGTTTTTACAAATACCGTACTTCCCTTTGCTCTCAGTGACAAAAGTTACGTTCTAATTTTTCACATTTGTCGCAATCAAGGTATTTACCTGTGCAATATTTTCCCAGCAATAAGTCCAAGTAAGGACACACATGTCTCCATAGTTCAGCATCTTGACAAACAAGTCTCAGCAGCCCTTGCCTGGCTTGATGACTAAAAAGACTCTGCAGTTACACCCAGTGGAGGCAGTTCTTCCCGCTTTATTGCACTTTAACTCTCTGGACCATGCAGCTATCTGAGTTGCTGGTTTTGCTTTGCTTGTTCCCCAATTAAGCAGTGCCTAAGGCATTTGACTGCTAACCAGAAGGTTTGTGGTTCAAACCCACCAGCTGCTCCATGGAAGAAAGACAAGGCAATCGACTTCCCTAAAGACTTACCACCTAGGGAACTCAGTGGGAGTCTCTTTGAGTCAGAATCAACTTGATGGCAGTGGATTTGGTTTGTTTGGTTTTTTTTTTCTTTTTGGAAGCCAAGAAAAAGACCAAATGGGATTTTCAATGGCTGTGATTTTTGCTCTTTGACAAAGGCTCCAGGGGCCTAAGAAGATTATAGTAAAACAAAGAGCTTGAAAGAATTCTGAAGTGAGAGTTTTGTAATCTAGTTGTCAGGGAAGATTCGAGGTCTTATTATCTGAGATAATTTCTGACTAAAACCTAGAAGAAAGGCCACTGAGTGCCAACTCAAGCAGGTAGCACTATAGGCAGTGAAATGAGTTAGAAACTGCTCATGCAACATTTGCTTATGGTTTTCTCCAAGGGAAAACCCCATTTCCTCTTCCTTTCTTCCCATCCTGCTTGTCAATGCTGCTGCTTAAGAGACAACACAATAAAGGACCATACACGTTAGTACAAGGATTGCCTTTAGAACAGATGACAGGGAAGCTTAATTGGATAGTATATAATTTCATAGCATAAAACAGCTAATTCAG